CCGATGTATTGCTTATATATTATCATTTCAACACACCAAATCAGTTATCATCGGAACATTACCATATCACTTTTACAATGCTTTATGGTAACAATATAGCAATGAATCAGACTTAAACACAATTTGTCTCTCGTAATACGCGAATGCTGTTTATAGATAGTCTCTTATGCATCCACTTTAATTCGATCCTCATTCTTGACTCGAACGATACATTCGAACGCATTCATTCATGTTATTGGTCACCACTGCACCTAATGAAAAAACGTCGCATGTGGACAGTGTTACAAATGTTACGAAATGAAGTGATTGCAGACTTTTAAAATTTCATTCGAACAACCCAATAGTTTTACTGATTATATGGATATTTTCGCAGTGAAGTTTATCATCAGCTGGATAACGAAACCATTCATGTGAATAATTGTATGTGGATATTCCGAAAAGAACGATCAACTCAAAAAAGCATTGATCACAAATGATATATTGACCGCTTCAACTGGTTGAGTGATTGTGAAAGCGCTCTGAAAACTGATTGAATAATGTGTGAGAACGAAGAAAATCCGCCGAAAGAGCAGAAAGCCGAATCGAATCGTCACTATGATTCGCATCGAGGTTTCAGTGCAAAAGCAAGACAAGTTCTACTTGAACCGCAAGCTCCATTCGCTGTAGCTGACAAGGTTTTGATTCACTTCGTATCAATTGTTAGTGCAGAATTCAATAAAGCATTTCTGCTATAGTTATGCATCAAGTGATATCATAATTAATGCATTAAGTGGTTATTATCATCAATATTATCGCAGTTGGTGCCATCGTGAAAATTTTCTAAGATCTGTATTACTATGTTGTTATTAAGATCATGATTCCACCTTCAGCAAGTCATCTTGACAACATCGAATAATCCAACCAGTCCAATAGCGCCACATCGAGGTTTCAATCCAAAAGCTCGAGAGAAACTGATTGAACGTGATAACACATCATCGCAGCCATTTAAAACGAGTTCGTTTCAAGGATCTTTAAGTTGCTATCAAAATGGCTGTTGATGATGAATATCATATGAAGACGATGGATTTCTCATTAAAGGTTCTCAGTCGAAGCTGTTTTGCTACATGGATGAGACCAGCAATCAGATAATTCGTGGTGATCTGATGTTTTCAGAGTCTTTAAGAACTGGAATCGAAAAAAAGTTTCCGCAATAAAATGATTATTTCATGATAGTATCGGATAGGAAAGAATCTCAGATCTCAGGATATTATCTATATTACCGACGAATTATATTGGATAGAAATGACTGATTGATTGTTTGTTGATTGATAATGATTGATTGATAATCGCTGAAAATAGTAGCATTTGTTAAGGATTTTGACAAGAATACTGAAAGGGATGAAGACATTGTTTTGATCAGCAAACAGAACAACGGAAAGTAACCTTCAGATCTGATGAGGGAAGAATCGAGCAGTGAGTTCGACTTGAGACGACGTGTTCTGAACAGTGGTGCTTTCTTTCAGTCGAAGCAAACAAACGGGAGTGGATCTTGTAGGAATTTCATGAACCTGGTACCGTCTGATGCAAAACATTCACCGTCAACATGTGATTTTAGTGAGTACTATTCAGTTTATTGCAAATTCTTTCAGTGATAAATGACGAACGAACCTTTATGATCAGTTCAGCTAACAGAATATTT